CATTTTGCAGAAAGATCATTCTTTGCATTGCACAGCACCTTGCACCCAAGGATCTCAGCGTGCTGCAGAAACATCAGCAACTGAAGCCTCTCAACTGCTCTGTTTGAAGGGATTGAAGTTAAGTGACTTCCCCATGAATCTCACAGGAAGTCCATAACAGAATCAGCAACAGAACTAGGAATCCAGTCACTGTCCCTAGGCACTTGGGGCTAATTGTGTTAGCTGAGAACTATCTGACTCTGCGAGTATCCCTAATAGACTCAATGGGACTCGGGACAGAGAAAGGTACCACTTGATTTGAGTAAGAATGGTACCAGCAGCCCATAAACCAGCCATCCCTTGGCTTCTACTAGCAGCGAGAGTCCATGAAATCAGTGGTGATGATTCATGCACGCCTGGGCAGAGCAAGGCTAGTTTGCGTTCTGCTTGTTCACAATGGAAGTGAAACACACTCAGTGGGGAATTAAATGAGAAGCGAGTCAAGAAACTGTGTCAAAAACTTGAAATGAAAAAATACAAATGCAAGAGTCTTGAAGTTACACGTTCAGATAATAAGCGTGGGAACTTCCTGCCAGTAAATGGGGCTGGTTTGACGGGTCTGTCCTCTACATAACCCCAAGACAAGCACTGGCAGTCAGAGGGGAAGCTTTCAATCCCCCCTTGTGCACCAGTGAGGTTCTTCAGCACTGAACCAGAGAAGTGAGAAGGAGATTAAGTCTGCATGAACCCATTAGCCAACAGCTGCTCCAGCACAAGAGTGAACATTCAGTGCCGATAGTCCGCAGGCGGTTTGTAACGAGGGCACCTGTCCTCTTGGACTCGACATGAACAGAACCAGCTCGATTTGGGTTTTATTTTTCCAGGTGCACAACTCAGCATCCTGGATTTGCCTAGAACTGGAGAGAAGATCCATTACGAAAGCCTGTCCTATTTCCAATGCCAGTGGAAATAATTTTTTTTAAAAAGAGAAGAAATCAGACCCATCCTGGGATGCTCCATTGAAGGACTTTGTCATCATGAGATCTCCAGGCCAAAATTTTGGCGAAGATTCAAACAAGCATCCACAAGAGTGTTTCTCTTATTCAGCCCCGATCACAATTAACTCTGCACCGCATCAGCCTATAACTGACAGTTGCAGTGATCCGTGAGAAAAACCACCGCCCCCGAAGGAAAGGATTAAAGTTTGGGCCTTCAGGGATGCCACAAATCTGACAGGATGTCTGGACTGCTGATGCATGAAGCGTGATTCATGCCCAAGGAATGAGGATGGGCCCGTGGCAGAGGAGGCAGCCAGACAGGTGAGGAAACAAGGGGATGGCTACACTACGATGCTACAACCATACGGTTGTAGCACGGCCAGGTGGAGGCTTCCTGCAGGGGTGGTACATCCCATCCGTCTGTGTAAGAGGTGGTAGCTGGGTCAGTGGAAAAATGTATCTGTTAAAGTAGCAGTGGCCAGGGAGGGGACACAGGTGGATGGGAGGTGTTAGGTTGACCTAAATACATTGCACAGGGTGCAAAAAACGTTCACAGCCCTGAGTGATGTAGCTAGATCGACCTGAATTGTAGGCACAGAACAGAGTACAAGGGGTCTTTGCAGCAATGAAAGGATGACCATAAGAACCGTCCCACTCTTGGCCCTTTGGTTTTGTAGCTTATTAATTCTTGAATTTTACTACACACGTGTTCTGTCAGCAGCGTGTAGAGAGAGGAGACGGTCAAATTTACAACAGAGAAAATCCAACACAAGTAGATTGTTAGAAAACACTAGAATTAGAGAAGGGCAGTTACAGAAAAAGGGACCAGATTTACAAAGATGCAGAAAAAGACCACAAGGCTCTAAGGGAGTTGGGTGTCTAAATACCTTTGTAAATCTGACCCACGGCTGCAACCAGCTTCCATTCTAAATCCCCATTTTAACCCCGCTCTGTTATTTTGGGTTTGGAAAATTCACTTGATCTGAAAGTTGCCAGATTACAGACAAAAATAACAAACGTTCTCCGTTGTCTTCTGAGTTAAAGTTTTGAAGAGTATTTGTCAATTGACTTTGTCAAGTTACAAGGTGATAAAAATGAGTCCGATCTGAAATTTTACTTTCGTCTAATGTTCATCTCCCCATTGCGTAAGAACAGCCTTTATGATCCCAGGACTGTATGCATGCAGAAAGGAAACGTAATCCCTGCCTCAAGACGTTTACCATCTGAAGTAATTTCAAGCTTTTCACATAAACAACAAGGAGTCCGGTGGTACCTTAAAGACTAACAGATTTATTTGGGCATAAGCTTTCGTGGGTAAAAAACCTCACTTCTTCAGTTGCAGAAGTGAGGTTTTTTACCCACAAAAGCTTATGCCTAAATAAATCTGTTAGTCTTTAAAGGCACCACCGGACTCCTTGTTGTTTTTGTGGATACAGACTAACACGGCTACCCCCTGAAGCTTTTTACAAGTTTCAAACTCCTTAAAGAGCCTTGTGAGCCAGCCTGATTGGAGGAAAATAGGCTGTAATCAAAGTTATTGGCAGTTTTTGTTGTGGACAGTGCTGGGACCAATCCCACTTTCACGGACTTCAACTAGGACATTTTTTTGACATTGGCTTCAATTGGGCTGGAGAGTTGGTGAGCACGTGCTGCCCTCTTTTGGCCAGTAGCAGCTTATGTTCTTCCAACCGGTCTTTCTAAAACAGACTGTTAAATTAGTATGTGTATCTAAAGCGCTTTCCTAACGAAGGCTGAATTAGCAACATACTAAGCGGAACAAGTGAGCTGCTCAGTTGAGACAGGCACTCCCGTTTGTTAAGGTTTCTTTAAAACCTTTCATCTCAGTTCTTGACAGAGAACTGCAAAGCAAAACCGGAGTTAAACCCAGATTTCTAAACTGGCTGTTAAGAGGTATTATTCAGAAAAGTCCAGTAAGCCAGCTCAGATAGATTGGAAGCTCTT